TTTTTTTTGCATAATCACATGTGGGTGAGTTTCACAGCTTTGTGTGGCAGTAGAAAGTGAGTGTCCTGACGGCGCTAGAGACAGAGGTACACATGCCTCACCTCTATGGTTGGGTCGTATTCATCCACAAAGTGGTTCTGGATGAGTTGGATGGTGAGAGCGCTCTTGCCCACGCCTCCAGCCCCTACGACCACAAGCTTATATTCTGTCATTCTTCAACTGCAGGAGAAAAAAAAAAAAAAGATGAAAATCAATGAGCAGTTAAAGACTTTTGCAGCTCCAGCTTTAATGTACTTACCGGACTTTAAATAAGTGTCAATTAACTGATGCTATTATCCAAAGCACCTTCACTAATTTCAGGTTCAGTCTGCTGGAGTAACCTAGGGTTAGACTTCTTGCTCAGGGGCACGACAGTGATAGTACAATAATAAAGCCTTTTTACGGTTTGAACTTACAACCATTCAGCTACCAACCCAGATGTTCAACCATTACACCACCACAGCATCCTACAATCAGGCAAGACTGTAAAAGTTTGTCACATTGACATTTACTTAAAATGCCAGGTTTAATGGACTGACCCAAAAACAGCATTTAAACACCACTATTAAAACATTAGTAGTAGTACCTTTATTATCCCCTTGGGGAAATTCTGTTTCAGTGGGTTTCAACATGCATTTCACATAGAAAACAATACAACATAGCAACAAGAACACAAATATGAAGGGGAAAAAATGTAATTATTAATTTCTAGAAATAATCAATATGGAACTGAATCAACAGATCCACAAAGGAATACTACAGTTCTCTATGGTTTGAAATTATATATTTATGAGTATATATATATTTATGAGTATATATATATATATATATATAAAACATTTTGTTGACACCTACATCATTAATCATCTTTACAATAGAATAGATTTTCTTCGATCACTTTATTACTGCAACTAAATAATCAGTTAAATAAACCGATTCAACGCATAACTAATGATAGAATAGCATGATTTGACATGTTATAAAGTTACGTATTATCTTACATGCTGCTACTCTATAACTTTACCATGAGTATAATCATTACTTCTCACTTTTCGTTACAATAACTCAACCAAACCGATTAATCTACAGTAAACAGAATCAATTCAACAGGTGATGCACTAATAGAAAATACTCATTTAACAATTTTAAAAGTTACATATTTATAGGCTAGTCCCGTGTAAGACCTTTTTACTATGACTTTTCTTTATTAGTTTTATAATTAATCGACTAACTAAAAGACTCACAGACTGCAACATAATACTACGATTTGAAATCATTTGACATGTTTTTACTGAAAACCAACCTTACAGTATTCTATGTATCTTTTTGAGCATATATGATTTATGTTATGTGCAATAAAGTGTGAATTAGATTTTAACTCAAGTTAAAATAAGTTAATCGTTAATAAGTATAGTTAAGCGCCATTGTATCGCAGGGCCCGAATTTTATTTGGGCGTGCGATGACAACAACACACTGGAACAAAATATACACACACAAAAGCTCACATTTAACCATTTCTTAGCTTTATCTGCACATGATTGCTCGTGACTGTTAATACACACGTTAAAATAGCTTTTCTATCATTTTTACCTCTGGGTTTGTTGTAAGTTCCGCGTCTGAAAAGCCTCTAAATGACTCGAGCGTTTATATCATGACCTTGCCATAATGTTTTTATCCATTTAAACAGCGTGTATAAAGCCGCATGTACCAGTAAGAGGGTTTGAAGTTTTTTTTTTTTCCAAACTAGAAAAAAATAAAAATAGAGCTGAATTCTAATCTTTCTAGGCTAACGTTACATGTCCTGCGCTCGGAGGCTGTGCTTCACATAGATATGGGCGGACACACTGTTTGCGTCCACCTAAATGATCACTTACCCCAAAATATCAACGGTTTTCAGCTGTTTACGATTATTTTCAGTAGGTGGAGGAGGTTAAAAGGACGAGTAATACGCAGTCGAGCAGCCCCTTCCGAGCATCAGCATGCATCTTGCATTATAATAGACGAAACATCTGTAGATACAAATAATCCCGATCGGTGTCCTTTCAATGAGCTGTGTAGGGCGGAGGGCTTGATCGATAACTAACCGATTAACAACACCGCTAATTAAAGGCTAACTATGGTTATACGACGGATAACAAATGCACTTTAGTTTACAGTGTAATAGCACACGAGAATGTGCTAAGACATATTCGATACTGGGTAAAGACCGGCTTTTGACAAGCGCTGAGGGCAGTATTGGCGTAGACTGACTTGCTCCTTAAATAGGCCCTAAATATAACCGGAACGTGTACGTGCGTACGTCATCGCGTATGTGGAATCTTATTGGATGTTTCACCTGTCAGTCAGAATTCATGTTTTTGCATTCGGTGCGCAAGGAGCCAATCGTCTACGTTTATTGACTGAATAATACCAATTACTCGGCCTAGATGTTTATTGTTTGACTTGATGCTTTACTTTATACGTTTTTTTCTTTGCAATTTAATGTAAATATAGTTAACAGATACACATAATTGTGAAACAAAGCATACAAAGTAAAGAATATGGGGGGAAATTTATTTTTTTTTATTTTTTTGTCTCTATAAAATGTCAAGAGCGAAAATATTGGTATATTTGCATTTCTCTATTTACAGTTTGTGGAGATGTTTTAGTTTACAATATTACATTTGTCATAATTGAAATGATCATTTATATAGTAACCAAAAATAATATGACTAACAGGCAAAGAAAATTCACTAAAAGATTATGAACATTAATATCAGGGGTGGATTCGTTTTATAAAACGTAGCTAGAATTCCAGAAATATTTTACTTGGAAAAAGCCTAATTGATTGCATAAATTATGCTTGGAATTCTCTCTACACTAACCTTGCGATACGTTTTAATTTTGAGTTCACTTTTAATCATTATTCATATATTTTTATTATAATGTAAGTAATTGCAAAGTAATTATACAAATACAAAATATTTTGCAACACCAAGAGTTTTGAAAAAAAGACAAAGTGAAAGATTTACGACTTTAGCATACAGTCTATTATTTGATCATAAACATATGTTTTATATATATGTATATATATATATATATATATATACATACATACATAAACATATGTTAAATACTAATGATGAACTTTGAATAAATCATTTCCATTTTAATTTTATAAGATGCAATAAAAAACGCTAAAGACACAAGGGGTCAGCATTTCCACGGTTTTGTAACTCAAGTTTCATTTCAATAATGGCGTCAAACTGTTTTTGCTGTATTCAGATGTTTTGTCTTTTGATTTTGATTTTTTTTATTTAATGCTTATTAAAGTTTATAGGCATTACTCTGCTGTAAATTATTATTCAAACCACTTAGGAGACTAACCGTTTTTTATTGAATAATACTTTTTAAATAGAGACTGCTGGGGCCATTTTTTATTTAATGATTAATCATTTAAATTATTTAATTGACACCTCTTATTGTGCAAATATATCAAATTAAACAAACAAAAAAATAGGTCCAGATTAATGCAGCTCAATGGAGGCTTTGGTTTTCTGAGCCGTCAAGCGACCTCTTGAGGAAGAGAACTGTATTCACACAAGTCCCGCCTCCTGCGACGAGATGGGCCAATAGGAGCCTCTCAAAGCGGTCTCTGATTGGACAGTTTAGAGATTGAGGGCGGGACTTGACAGAATGCGGCGAGTAGATGAGACGGGCGTGTTTTCCACATTCTAGCTCGGATGGACTGACTGCAGCACAGCGTGAAAACTTTTTCCTGTGGGGCGGTGAAACTTACGGATGAAATCCGCTAATTTTCTCAGACTTTTGCGCTGTAAAAAATACAAAATATAACAGCAGTTCGTTTATATTTAGCAAACGAATCTGTATAGTAAGGATTAATACAGAAAAAAAACCCTGAATATCACAGTGTCCTTATAATTTATTGTAACGTTACAAACTTTGGTCATTGTAACATCGAATCGGACAAAAAGTGGATAAATGTTTTCCTACATTTAGTCATAAAGGTAAGAATGTACAGATTTTTCATGCGGAAAACGTCATTAATAAATGTAACTTAAAAACAGCAGTTATATGTCAATACGCATTCAGCATGACAATCTGAAACATTTAGTTGCATGATTTAACTTTAAGTCTTAATTTCAGATCTAACGTTGTAACTAACAAAATCAAGATGACGGTGTCGGGTATGGTAAATGTTTTGTTATCTAACTTTCAAAAACAATATTAAAACAGCATGTTTTTAGTATTCTGTATGCAGACCATCATATCAATTGACATCAACACAAAATGTGAGTTTCTTAATCAAATCCAAAGCAAAATATGAGATTTGCGTTTAATACTGTGGGAAAACGAAGTCACTGCTACTTTTCTGTCCTCTAAATGTGGATGCAATGAATTGTTAAAGGGATAGTTCACCCAAAAAAGAAAATGTGATGTTTATCTAGGCTATATTTATATAGAGATGGTAGATTTGGGTTATTTTATTTGTAAAGTCTCTCAACTTTTATTATTTTCAGATTTTTTTCAATGTTATTTGTATTCAATTATTGATATTTGAAGGACCAGTCAGCTTAAAAAACATCAGTATGCGTTAGTTTGACTATTTAAGCGTTTATTTGATGCAGTATACAGTTACTACTAAACCCAGTTATTATCTAGGCTAGTTATTGAAACATATTTAATGCACTTTTAAATTGAATGACTAATTAGTATGGGAAGTACGATCCATGTTATCATGCAATGCAATAGAAAAATTACTGGCCTTGGTGGTTCTAACAAAGACGTTATGGAGATTTATAAAATAATTTGGTTATTTTCGTTTTATCATATCTTATATCATGTAGGCTATTTACTGCAAAATACTCATTTAATCCAAAAAAGTGTCTTTAGTGCATTTTTGTATTGCCACAAAAGTATGCAGATGCTTTACAGTGGGAATGCGTAACTACTTAATTGAAAGTGGTAAGATGAGAGATTATTAATAAACTACTTAGTCACGTTGACACTTTATCCAGTACCCTCGTAACTCAGTTTTTGGCTGGTCCTTCAAAGCTAGCCTGCTGATCACAACCATGGCAAAAGAACAAAGGCAGTATTATATCCAGCGAAACGTGCCATCCAGATGTTAGCGATTCTGCCTGTCTAAGGCCTAGCTGTGGGTGTGGAGCTGGGTTTTAAGGGGTCGACGTTTATTAAGTTTATTAAAGCACCTCAGCTGAGACTTGGGTCTCAACAAACTCTGAGATTTACAAGAGCGAAGGCGGCTCTTGCTGGTCCGTTGTTAAATACCACTGTTCTTGCCATCTAAAATCCTTAGAGAAGGACTTTGTTTAAAAGCTGGCATGATTTTATTCCCTTCGTAGTTTTGAGGAAAGTGTTGTTTTCCTGTTACTTTCCATGAAAGCTCCTCATTGTTTTTTACTCTTACTGGCTAAATGTGCCAAACTGCGTGGAAGAATCAACCGTAGCAAAGTAGATTGCAGGACACCCAGGGGGTTTAGGAGCAAGATTTGGAGATTTCACTGTGAATTCACTCACTTTCTTCCAAAACCTCAGGTTATTGTTTTACTGGGGTGGGGAATGAAGGTTTGTTTTCCTTCCTCCGTCGTCCCAGATGGGAGATTTGGTGAGGACACAGTTCTCCTCTGTGTTTGGCAGATGGGAGGTCTTTCTTGGCTCAGTTTGATTGTGTAGTGGCATTGTTTGTTTACTTTGCGTTTGATTTGCACCTTAATTTTCCCTCGGTAAAAGGAACAAGATTCAAAACACGAGGTTTAAAAATATATTCCAATTCTGCCGTAGCTCATAAGAGAATACCAGGAAAAAAAGTTCTTCTAAATAAAAAAAAAAAACTTTGGCCATATTCCATTCCTGGCCATATAACTCATGGACGATGAGTGTCAAGTGTTTGATTAGAGAAAGCGAGATGGAGGCTAGAAACATCTTATCTCCTTCAGCATTCAGTGCCCAGCTGCGTGGAATGTGTAACCTCAATGTTATCCGTTTCCATGGTGTAAAATCAAGGCCCAAGTCTTCGGATAACCACCTGCACCTTCGGATAACAAGCCTCAACAATGCATTAGTCACTAGCTAATCTTTTCAGTAACTTCACTATACAGTGGCCCCAAAAGTGAAGGGATAGTTCATCCAAAAACAAAACTTTTGTCATCTTTTACTCACCCTCATATCATAATCAAACCTGTATGACTTTCATTTGTTTGTGGAACATAAAAGAAGATATTTTGAAGAATGTTTCAGCTGTTTTTGTCCATATTATGAAAGTCAATGGGACACAAATCTTACAAGCTCCAATAAGGATAAAAAGATAGCATGAAATTAATCCAGATGACTATTTTGTAAGTTTTCAAAGTTCATAGCTTTTATTGTCATATGCACATTCCCTGCACAATGAAATTCTTACTTTGCTTTCCACTCTGAATGCCGCTAATAGAAAAACAAGAATAAATTATTGATAAAGAAGAAACAAATACGCAAAAATACAAATATAAAAAGTGCATTAAATAGTGGTGCAGTATTACAGTACAATGTGTTTGAAGCAACACAGTCACTTTCTGTGAAGAACAGCTAGAAATGTAAAGCCCAAAGTATTCTTCAGTTTTTTACGTGTACACTAGCGTATGCGTACAGTCAAAACATGCAGGCTTTCAAAGTATACTCCATTTGACAGAGTGCGCGAACGCATGCGGTCGACACACGCACTCTAGAAAGGTTCATCTTACTCCAGCTGTGCTATATTTCTCCAGAAATGATGACCGATGAAAATGTCTTTGTAGTCTTTTAAACTAAAGTTGCTGCTATCTCACAACCCTCTCACAGAAGTGCTTGTCAATGCGGCCGTCTGTTTTTGTTGCAGTCTCCGCTATTTTGTTGTTGTTGTTCTGTCACTTTAGTTTCATTTTCTTCTGCGAAACAGCGGCCCGGGCCAGTGCTGCCACCTTGTGGAACAACTGATTAGTGCAAAACCAAGTCAATGCACATGTGCGACCTGCATGTACAAAGTAGGAGTGATTACAAAAATTGGGTGGTGCACGCACAGTAATTGCGTACTATTCTGGTGACGAAATTTGCGTCACGCGCACTGTACGCTGACCCTCGCATATGTGTAAAAAACGAAGTATACTTTGCACTTAAGGCTTTAATAACTCTTGAATTAAAACATTGATCAACCTCAGTCTCCCATTTGGTCATGTGAGGTGAGGCTTGACAATACATTTCAATCTGTTCATTGTACAAAGTAATTGTGT